ACCTCTGCCTCCCAGGTTCAAGTGATTCTCCCGCCTCAGCCTCCTGAATGGCTGGGATTACAGGCATGCACCACCATGCCCAGCTAATTTTGTATTTTTAGTAGAGACGGGATTTCTCCATGTTGGTCAGGCTGGTCTCAAATTCCTGACCTCAGGTGATCTGCCCACCTTGGCCTCCCAAAATGCTGGGATTACAGGCATGAGCCACCATGCCCGGCCAGAAATGTATACTTTAATGACTTATAAGTAAATCCCAAACCCCTGTGACACATATTCTGTGATTAAGAATAACTTAAATGGTCAGCATGATAATGAACAAATTGATCATCCCAGGGACCATTTCGATATTTCCAGTCTAAGTATCCAAAGCACCCGTAAGACATTCCTTGCAAGGGAAAAAAGCCCCCAGGTTAATGGGAAACCAGGGTGCCAAAATCCCAAATGACTACCACCTTTAATAATGTGTGAGAGACCAAGACCTAGTTCTTTCAAAGTCTCTTAATCATGAACTTTCACAAATCACCCTGTGCTTGAGTCATGTTTATAGGAAAGAATTGCTAATCTCCAATTAAATAATAGCTGTGTATTTAAATATATATGCATGTTTATATTTCTTTGAATACAGGATATTATTTGGTCATCGACCTTACTGGTGGGTCCAAGAAACTCAGATTTACCCAAATCACTCAAGTCCATGCCTTGAACAATTCCCCATTACATGCGAAACAGGTCCAGGTAAGCTATTACAGCAGCCTCAATTACTGAAGATCTTCCAAGAGAGAATCATTACACATGGTTATCATCTAGTAACTGATATTATATAGGGTAGTAAAGAAAATCTCATGGGTGAGGATGCTAAAAGTTCATAATCATCAAAGTTACTAATGAGGAAGCAAAGTAAAAAACAAGCAAACAAAAACCTCAAATTCCATTTTGTTGTTTGTGAAAGCGTAGATTGGGAGAACATTCCCCAAATGATGGTTTGGTGTTTACTTTTCAGAAGAATGTAATGACTTGCTACTAAAGCAACAGTTAACTAGAACAAATTCTCAAGGAACTAGAGTAAGATCTTAGAAATGTTGGTTTACCTGCTGCCGAGCACTCTCAAAGTTATTATAGGTCTTCTGAGAATTTCACGAATGAGGGAGGAGTAGACAAGTCTTCTATAAGAAAGGTAAGGACTTCTCAGTGCTATTATAGCCAGTAAAGACTATTTCTAACCTTAGAACCAGCTCTTTAAAGTATATTTTTCTCTGTGTTTGCAGTACACAAGCAGGCTTCTTGGACCACTTTTTTATCCTAAGTAAGATTCTGTATGAATATAAAATCTTTATTGTGATAGTTGAGTATCAGACTGTTTTTAAAAGGTTTTTGAAATATATATTTTTAAAGTACATGTTTTTAATTTATAAGAATGTGTTACATTGTACCTCATCATTTTACATAGCATAACATTCTTCCAATTGACATCTTTTGAAACTAGCTCTGAGTAGAGTTAAGCATAGTAAAGGATGTGTAAATTCCTAATGAGTTTTCTGAATATGTCTTTTTTGTTCTTATAAAAGTATATATACATCTGGTATGTCACTTATTATACTAAGCTATATAATTAATTCTTTATATATGTAATTACCTAGACTGGACATTCCGTCCGGGGAGGGATTATGCGTATTTTATCTTTGTGAAACAAAAGTGTGATAATTGGATGAATGGTTGCGTGGGTAACATTTGAGACCACTGAAATGTTATCATGGTCAATCCTAGCCCTTTCTGGCATGTGTTCCACCTTATGAGACATTTTCTGGAAACAGAGAGAGAGAGAGGAAAGAAAGAAAGACTGCAATTACCTGGGAGACGCCCAATTCATTCAGGCATATTTTTTTAAAAGGCTATGAAAATTACTGCAGGTAAGAAATAGGTCTGTCTTTGTTTAACCAAAAAGAGACTGGTATTTAATTTGAATGAACTACTAGGTGAAAAATCAGGGAGGACATCTAAGTAAAGTGATTAATAAAAAATTCAGTAGGATGGAAAAGGCATTCTGGAAATAGAAAGACTACAGTCTGCAGGATCTTTCCGTTAGGATTAATGCCCTCTTTACAGTTCCTCCTCATCCTCTATTTTAAAACAAAGGTTCTCACTGCAGTGGGCACAAAATAGGTATAGGAGTGGCTGCTAGTACACAGCAATCATTTGTAAGTCAATCAGCAAATCACAGGCCTAGCAACCATACCCTTTAGAGTTTGACTTGTCAGCCCAAGGAAAACAAGCCAGTTCAAGATCCAACATAAGCATTAGGGTGGGGCAAAAGTAATTGTGGTTTTTGCCATTGAAAGTAATGGCAAAACTGCAATTGCTTTTGCACCAATCTAATACTTTTTCTCAATTAAAAACAATTAAATATTGAAGAATGAGTAGGACTGTGGCAGATTTGGGTGCAACCACCTGAGTTCTTAATTAGCCTTGAGTATGTTGATTTCTGGAATTCAATGAAACTGAAAATCTGGAAAAAAATTTTTGAGACAGTGCCTCTCAGGCTCAAATTTAACTCAATTTTCCTTATTTCTACCTACTTCTAAACATTACATGAGCCTGTGCCCTGTGGTTCTTTTCTGCGTTACTAATAATTTTCATGGTGAGTATGCTGTTCTATTATTCACTTCTGATATTGATAGTTAATTAACCACTTTTCAAATGGACGGACACTTTGTTGTTGCAGGAAGTCCATCTGGCCATGCAATGGGCTCATCCTGTGTCTGGTATGTCATGATAACTGCTGCCCTGAGCCACACTGTCTGTAGGATGGATAAGGTCTCTATCACTCTGCACAGGTTAGCTTTGCTGCAGTTTCTGTAGCGCTGGAATACAACAGTATTGAATACAGAAAGTCTTGCCTAAAAATTAATTTTAGTGCAGTTTTAGTCGTTGAATAAAATGTGCTTATTCTATTCTTTCATAGACAAAATAACAAAATGAATAGAAAACTAATATTTTGCTTTAAGATAATAGCCTAATTAGCTCATAGTTATTTCTGCTTTTCAAGTTGGAAATGTTTAACTGATTAATAACTTACTTGACTGTGCCTCTGGGTTTCCAAAATGCAATAATTATTTTGATAGCTCATAAATAAGCCATCTAAAATTATACAGCATAAGGAAACATTTTTGCATGCATATTCTCTTGCTTTAAGATTAACTGGAAGTTTTGAGAATCATCATTCTCCTTGACTGCATCAGTTTATTCAGTAAAATCATGCTTCCTTCTTTGAATAGCCAATGCTTTTGATTTCAGTAACATATATTCCAGCTTTAAAGAGTATGCAAATGTTTTAATTAAAAACATTCTAGAAGCAAACTTAAATTTGAATGTTAGTAGATTTAATGTTAGCAGATTTTTTAATGTTTAGAAAGGTCTAAACTTTAAGGTTACTCACAGCTGTGTAGAAATTGGGTCGTTTCTTTCTCTTCTTTCCTGAAATACTTTGTCATTAAAACAATCCTGAGCACCATCTCAGCCATAAATTAGGTGACTTGAAATTAGATTTGCAAGTTAACCTTCAAAAAATACTATAACATACACCATTATTAAAAAGTTTTCTAAAAGAAAATATTTTCAAGATCTATCACATATTCCACTTTTTAGAGTAGTATTGGATAATATAAAAAAACAAATGACCAAAGGAATTTTGGTAACTTAAAAGTTTATTCTAATGAGACTGTGAACTGTATGCTTTAATGTATTTATTGCCCAACCCAAAACAACAACAGTAAGGTGTTATGATGTAAAGAAGTTAGCATTTTCTATTTGCAGACAGTTTTCAAAGTAGGAATCTAGATCAGTTTCACCTTTTCTCTATACTTTATTTCTGCCTCCAATGACCAAACCTGGAAAAATATATTTCCTCTAAGAAAAAAAATGATCATAAATCCTTTTTAATTTTTATAATTGCAATATTTTCTTCATTTATAAAACTTTACTGTGTGCTTTTTACCTTCACAGTACCGAATTCTTTATTGTTCTTCCACATTGATATCCTGCTTACTTCGTCTTTCAAAGCCTCATTTCTCTGTGTTCCTAGCGTTTCTATAACCAAATTTCAGTCTGATTATCAGGAACAAACCATTTAAGGATTCCTGGAATTCGATACTGCTAACACTTTTTTTCAATGACATGCATTGCTTGGATTTAGTATTTTTTAATGTTTTTTTTTTGTTTGTGTGTGTGTGTGTGTGTGTGTGTGTGTCTGTGT